TCTGGATAGAATCCAGCAAGTTGAGGGTATGTTTGGGGGCAAGGCTCCACACTTGGGAACAATACTCCAAAGAAGGTCTGATCTGAGCTTTATAAAGCATCAAAAGTTGTTGAGGTGTGTACAATTTTTTGGTTCGGACTTTGCAATTCCAGCGACATGATTGTGCCATGTGGTATTGAATTGAACCGGTTTACTTTCACCCCAACTAGAAATCACTTCTAGATAAAACAAATCACATCTCCATCGCGTTTCGAGTGCCATTCCAGTTTTGCAATTGAATTATTGCTATTCTGAAAGTTGAAACATTTCATCAACAATTTTTCATAAATACTTCTTCTGATACCACATCGGAGTAATCTTCACAAATACTTTCCGCAGTTGAGAGAATGCAGATGACAATATATTATCCAACTGTACTTTATTGTTGTGAAAATTAATCTTTGAATGAACGTTTCATTTCAACACATCCACAATATTTTTTTTGTTAATTACAAAAATGGATAAATGGATAAAATCACAATTCAGTCGTATATCACATTTGATTTTTTCAGTGTTTCATCTATAATAACCCACATCATCAGTGACCACAATCAAACAGAAAAACAATTTATTTCATAATGATTTTCTGGGAGAAAATGAAACCGATACAAAAAATGAATTCTGCATGCACGTGAGGTGTTTGACCATTCATCTCTTATATTTTGCTCGATTTTTTCGATATCTGATGTATGTGTCGAAAAACTTTATGTATCCCCAAATTCCCTAGACAAAAAATCTAAAGAAATGAGGTCTGAGGGTCAAGCTGACCAGGCAATTGGTTCATTGTTTTCAAACAATTTTGTTAGGAATATTGCATATTTCACGGTAAATGTTCAGTGGCAATTCCCCTGACCAATCCTCAATTGAAAAAATAAGTTTTGGTTACGTTTGTTAATCTTCATGAGTTATTTGTTTATCCAAAACATTTATTTGGTTCGTCACACTTCCACTAACGACAGTCTCTCAAAATTTCTTTCTAATCGTCTGAATATTTGAATGTTCGGAATAAATACATATACTTTGCCAAAAGAGGATTTCTATTTGATTATGCATGAATTATTAGCATATCAGTCCTTTTGTCTTTCAAATACATTTCCAATATATAACCGAGTGCCTAAACGTCTGACAGCTCTGAAGATATCAACCACTCATTCATTTTCCCCATCACAGAAACGTTCAAAAATGGAGAATAAAGTTAGATGATATTCAATTACAAATAACACATGGTATTTTGATTAAAAACTAATATTTTCGTGGAGAATTGTAGAAATATTCCGTATAAAATTGATTCATGAGATATCAACCTTGGAACAATGATTACTGTTATACAAAAATTGAAAAAAAATACGAATGTTCCTTGTATTGGGGTATCTTCTTATTGAAATTATTTAGTAATGACTGAGTTATAACGATAGCTGAATACTTTTTGCAGAAATAAAAATAATTTACGAAAGAACTAACGACCAGATCGTAATTGAAAATTGTTGTACCTATAACTCGAAAAGGGCGAAGTTCCCTATACATTTTCTTCGACCATTGTTCTATTCTCCAAGATACTAACCTTTTTTCCCGTTCAATCGTTTTCGTACAACTGTTGCGGTATAGAATATACCGCAACAGTTCACATGATGAAGAAACGGTCTATATTTCTCCTTATCAACGTTATTTATTCAAAAATGTCGGATAGTTCTGTACTAAGCCATCTTAGGAGTGACATATACATGATTTTCGTAAAAAAACAGTGTAAATTTATCTTCTGATAACAAGTATAGCCAATTTCTTCATGAAACATTATGAAGAGAAATCAATCAACACCTTTGAATTAAAACCGTTCTTGTGGCTACGTTACGTGAATGGCATCTTCGTCGTTTGTAAACATGGAAGGAACGCTTTGGAGTCTAAACAAGTGCAGCGGATGGCATTCCTAGATATACTAGTCGAAAGATGTGATGCTAGACTAACCTACAAAGTGCACCGCACACCCACGCACACGGTAGGTACCTGCATGCACTATCGAACCACCATCCTAGTCAAGAGAGAGGAGTCATCTCCACTCTAACGGAACGAGCTAGAAGAATATGTGGAGCAGAGCATCTACAGGAAGATCTGGTACATCTTCAAGTAACCTTGAGATCGACGGGTTGGCTGTCTTTCACTGCCTGAACCACTGTGCATACTGTTTTTGGCGATGGCCTTGACTTGGGATGCGAGGATTGAGCAAACCGACCATCGGATGCCTACTTCCACGTAGCCCCGCTGGATACGGGAATGACATACGGATACGGAATACCGGGTGCCCTCTCGTCGTAGCATCGCCTTGTCACAGCGATGCGGGGCTCTATCGTGATTGACCTTCTGTCCCTAGCTACTCGTGGGACTTTTATGGACAAAGTGAACTTAAAAATTTTTTCCGACGCTGAGTCTATACAGGAGATGGATGTCGAGCTTACGACTCCAACTGACCTCTCTGTATATTCAGTTCAGAAGCGAGTCTACAGAGGAGATGGATGTCGAGTTTACGACTCCAACTGTTTTCCCTGTAAATTTAGTTCAGGAGCAAGTCTACAGATGAGATGGATGTTGAGTTTACGACTCCAATTGACTTTCCTGAAAATTTAGTTCAGGAGCGAGTCTACAGAGGAGATGGATGTCGAGTTTACGACTCCAACTGACCTCCCTGTACATTTAGTTCAGGAGCGAGTCTACAGAGGAGATGGATGTCGAGTTTACGACTCCAACTGACCTCCCTGTAAATTTAGTTCAGAAGCGAAAGCTTCTAACGTTTGCGCTCAAGTGATGATTCACCAAAAACAGAGGCGAAAAAGTCCTGCACGGTTGAATCTTAGGCATCGTCAGGTGTAGCTGATGTTTAAAACCCTCATATGGAAAGGTTGTCGCGGGTATCAAGGTAGGAATCTTGTACCTTGACTATCTGACCAGCTCATTAACGATGAAATAGCAGGACATATACGTTATGCCTGCCCCGCTGGGGACCGAATCAGGTTTTTAGAGTTCGGCAGAGCCGAACTCATACCATCTGACCTGAAAGACCACTCACCATGCAAACCAAACGGCTTTGTCAAGAAGCTTGGTTTATTTGGTCGAGTGTGAATAGGTGTGAGTCACAATAAACCCTTGCGGGTTGCGGTGGAGGGTTGAATAGACCCGCTCACTTTAGACCTAACCTAACCCAACCCAACCTTGAGATCGAATGAATACAGTGTACCCGGGATCAATGAAGCCATGATACTGACGAGTTAAACGGCTCAGAACAGAGAGAATGCTCAGATGATTGCACCCGCGTCTCTACCTCATATCCCCAGGGTCACAGACAAAATTGGAAAACGCTTGGGGAAATACAACAGCAAAACGGTTTTCAAACCCAACTAAAAGATACAATAAAGCCTCAGGTCAGTTGAAGATGAAAGAGATCCAGTATTATCAGTAGAAGATCGGATTCCGTGCACTCGTGGGAAGGTAATCATCGGAACCACCAAAAGATCTATAGAAACAAGGTTGAAGGAGCATGAAAGAAACTGCAGACTAGGCTCAACAGACCAAGTCAAATGTGGCATAACATGCACTCAGTGGAGGAAACCACAGGATTATGTTTGAAAACACGAAACTCATTGCCCCCGATATCACAACCGACTGGTATGGGAGGCAATGGAAATCCAAAAACACACGGATAATTGCAACAGTTATTGACAATTCCTCAAATCCAGGTACATGTCACACCAGACTACTTGAATCAACATAAACTCGCTTTACGTAATTGACCCTATCAAGGAACAGGTATATTAGCACACCAAACTATCTGAAGAGTCAACGTAAATACTCGTTACACAGCCGTAATATCCATTCATCAGAATTAACAACTCAGGGTGTATGAACCTCTGAGTAAGCTAGCCACTCGTGCCAACGAAACGTCAAAATATCCACGGCATACAAACCTGGAAAATTGTGACACAGAAGACTTTGCTTCCATATGTGATACACTGTTCGGATTCCATTTTTGGAACTTCCACTTTATATTATGCGAAGCTAACTCATATTCCATTGTGGTGAGTTATTCGAAGTTCCCATATCAGAAAAAAAAAATTCAGAAAAAACTTGTTCTGAAAATAAACCTCGCGAGGAACTCGCCAAGATGAAACCTGAATGCCTGTATGAAATGGAGAGTAGACAAAGACCTTCTCGCTTCTACACTCATACAGACAAATAACTATAGACAATCTTATATACTGGTGCTTCTTTTTTCTCAAAGTAATATTTATCAATCAGCTCAAAATCGACTCATGAATGAAAGGATGCTTCTGCCTGCCAGACCTTATATTATGACAAGTCACCCAATACAGGACTGAATTCCTCCCGTTGTACACGAAAACAACTATCATATACGTGAACTTAGTCTATGGCGAATCGCATTTTTCACATCTGAGCAGATGAACAAGGCCGGTTCTGGCTCATTTCAAGGTCGCGCGTGGTTGGTAAGTGTTTCAGAGAGAGAGAGAGAGAGACTTTATTGAGTGTGACAGAGAAACGTGTGACTTAATCGATGCACAGAAGGATGGTATAAGTATCGGAGAGATTCAAAGAGCATAGCTTCTCTTGGGACTCCACCTCACTCCTCGAGCCACCTTGTCACATACCCGTCCCATGCTTTTCTGTAATTGAAGCCTCTAAGTACTGAGTATCAGTATGTATTTCAGGTTTATGATAACAATCAATTACTTCGTCAGTCGTTCCCGTTCCATCTTTCATATTTATGAGAGTGATTAGGTGAAAGAAGAAAAATGTTCGTGGTGTTAAATAATTTTTAATTTCTGTATAATTCATTTTATTGTTCTCAATTCGAATTTTGTCCAAACTCCTTTTTTACAATATAACCAGTCGATCATAATAGTTGTCCATGAATACAGAAATTGTAGACAATTCAAATACTGTAATGTATTACTACTATAGATGGGTAATGATGAATAATGATTATGTTGGCTCGAGGAAAGAAGAAGTTGGAGTTATCAGTCCTACGCTACTCCGGCTTATAAGATGTCCTGTGCTTGTAACACAAATCGAAATTTTCCTTTTCTTGATATTCGATTTGAGACCCATTTTGAGATTCTGAAAAAAAACGAATGAACTGTAGATGCTGAATACTTTGCGACAGACAAAAACTCAACTTCACTTTGTGAGATCACGACAAATGAAGCAAATCACTATAGTTTCACTTTTTGACTTTCTAAAGAAAATCCTGATTCACTTCCGGTTTGAATAATTGAAGAGTATATCTTTGAAAATCGAATACACCAATATTTGAATTATTCAGTAAAATTAACAAAAAAACTATTGTAATACTATTTCAGTCAGCTACCAAGCAGAGCACATGAATGTGACTACATACTGGAATCTTGCTGATTTGTATATAACGGTTGTTTTTGTGAGGTTGCAGGCTATTGAGATAATTGCCAAGCTTTCGTTATCTTCATGACCTTCCTCAGGAAAACTAAAATGCGGGGATTAAATGTCGCATGAAATGCTACTCTTTTCCATATTTCATTAAGAACGTGTTAGTTTCACTGAGGTTATTTAAGTCATTGGCGTGAAGTTATCCACTAATTTCTGGCCACACATGCTGACGTAGAGGAAAATAAAAATCTGTGGTTGGGATACGAAATTATAAGCACCCGTACTAATATCGGTGGCTGGAAATACCTATTCACTATAGGTTGAACGTGGAATTATTGTGACTAATTGGTGTTTAACTTTTTTATAGAATCTTGACTAGATTGACGCGTCGATAATCGTTTTCTCATCAACAATACAGATTTAGGGAATAATAAAATTGTAAATATCAGACTTACTTTTCAATAACCCATATAGAAATGATATCAGATGATGTGCGTCCATCAAAATCACACAACTTCTATAGTTTCTTGAGAATATTAACTTGGTGATGACAGTTTTCTTGTCATCTAAACAGATTTCGAAAAAGAAATTGTTGAAACAATCAGACTCATTTTTGAGATTCCTTGTATTCATGAAAANACTATATCGATCTGCCTAAGATTCTATAAGAGATATGTGATTTTCATGAATACAAGGAATCACAAAAAATGAGTCTGATTGTTTCAATAATTTCTTTTTCGAAAACTGTTTAGATGACAAGAAAACTGTCATCACCAAGTTGATCTACTCAAGAAACTATGTAAGTTGTGTGATTTTGATGGACGCACATCATCGGATATCATTTTTATATGGGGTATTGGAAAGTAAGTCTAATATTTCCAATTTTATTTTTTCCTATATTTGTATTGTTGATGAGAAAATGATTATCAACGCGTCAATCTACTCAAGATTCTATAAAAAAGTTTTACACCAAATAGTCTGAATAATTTCACGTTCAACCTATAGTGAATAGTTATTTCCAGCCACAGATAATAGTACGGGTGCTAATAATTTCGTATCCCAACCACAGATTTTTATTTTCCTCTACGTCAGTATGTGTGGCCAGAAATCTGTGGATAACTTCACGCCAATATTTAAGTCTGTTTGCCTATTCTTGTAAAACGTCTCTTTAATTTCTAAGAATACTCTTTCAATGACTTCTATATTTGAAATTTATGAAATTTTGTCCTACACACTCAATTATATTTTTGTTTATTCATGACTATGTTTATTCAAGTTTACTATGGAATTCATATTGTTTACTCTGTTCAAAAATAAGGTGAATTTTCATTTCCCGCAAAAAAAAATGTTTTCATTCATCAATTTCTAATCTGGTTCAATGAAAGTCTTCTTCAGATATAGTATACTTGTATCAGTTTTTTTTTCAATCTACGAAACCGTTCTGATATGCATTTTTTGATATAACCTTGAGCTCCCTCAGCGATTCGCATTCTAACTTCTTGATCGTCGCGAAATACCGTCCTTTCATGGGTTTCTTCAATATTGGGAACAGAAAAAAGTCGAATGGGGGTGAATCTCATGAATACGGTGGCTGAGGCATGATTACGATGTTGTTGGCCAAACAATTAGAAACAAGCAATGTCTAGTGTGCAGGTGCATTATCGAGATGTGAAAGCTATGAATTGTTTGTCCACAATACTGGACATTTTCTTCGTATTCCTTCTCGCAAGCGACAAATAACGTCAACGTTTTATTCCTTATTGAAATCGCGACCATGCGACAAGAACTTCTGATGCAGCTACGGTAATCGAAGCCAACAGTGAGCAAAACCTCAGCATTTGATGAAACTCGACGTTTTTCTTCGGTCTTGGGTCTCTTGGGCTCTTCCATTGGGACGATTGGACTTTGGTTCCGATTTTATAACCATACACCCATGTTTCGTCACCAGTTATGACCCTTTTAAGCAAATCTAGATTGCCGTTGACGTCATCCAACAATTCCTGTGCGATACTCATGCGACGGTTTTTTCAGTCAAAATTCAGCAATTTTGGAACGAGCTTCGCTGCTACATGCTTCATGCCCAAAATTTCAGAAAAAATTGCCTGGCATGAGCCAGGCTGGCATCCTCAGCCAAATCTCTCATAGTTATTCGATGATTTTCCATAACAATTTTCTTCACTTTCTCAACATTTTCATCGGTTGTTGATGTGCTGGGGCGTACAGGAAGAGCGTCGTCATTCACATCCTCTCGACCTTCTATGAAAATCTTGTGCCACATTTCAACATTTTTCTGACTCAAAGTATGCCACTGTAAATATTTAAATGTTCTTGAGCACTTATGTTAATTTTTCACAAGATTTTATACAAAACAGTTCTAACTTTCATGCCTCTCACTAACGAAGTGAACATGCTTAACAGCTGGAACTGTGAACATATGTTCGAGACAAGTGTATACCGATATAAAAAAATCAAAGAATCGCTAATCGAATGTACTTTGCCCGCGAAATTTCAATATTAATCCCATTTTTTAAACAGCCACGTATTTATATGGAACGCCATTTTACTTTTTATTGTCACAAATATTCATTCCTCAAATTCTTCACCCAACAATTTATTTGTTATAATTTAATTGATTCATGCATTTGTTGGATTGTTGGCAAAATTTGTGCTATTTTAAATGACACTTGATTTAAAATGTTATAATAGGGGAGCCCAAGCGGAGATTTCGGGATTTACTGAAGCGGGCAGGGGAATACAGGGGAATACCTTGTACCCGGTTAAGTACCTCAACCAAATATGAGTCCCATATATAAGGCCGCCTGTGAGGGATAAAGTATCAGATTAGTAAAAAAAAATTAAGCATCAGAAATTCTCGAGCGCGTCAGAATGAGGTAGGGTTAGTTAATTACCTGCTAAAAAGTGTATATTCCAGTAATCTGACAATTTGAGAGTGACGTAAAGAAAGGGTAGGGCAATAAAGTTGTAAAAAAATAACGTCATTTCGACATTCTCGAGCGTAGCTAATTTTTTTTTCTGAGAAAATAATTCAAAGATATCGAAAAATATATAATCTGACGATTTCCGCAAGCCGAAATAGCAAAAATTCGTCGATAAAGT